CCAAAAAAAAAAAACAAATCAATTATACATTTAAGCGTATATGTTAAATGAAGAGTAGAAAGTATATATAACACTTGATAACTTTAATTTATAAATAAATGTCACGTTTTTATTAATTTATTTATCATTCCTTTCACTATGTATTTATTGTAATTTACATTAAATACTTAAGGGTAAATATTTTCGTATAGACTTTTTTATACATAGTATTAGTGGTGTTGGTCAAGTTAAATATGTTGTCTTCGAACTCATACTTAGTTTTATAAATGAGCATGTTTGACTCGATTCATTTGATAAATTTACTTGAACTTTGACGAACCAAATTGAGTTATTTTTGCTAAAAATTTAGTTATAGTAAAAACTTTACATGTTATGTAGCAGCCTTGTGTATGATAAATTTCTGGCTACGCCCTTGCTTGAAAGTGAACAACACGAGACAAGGAAAAATTAGAGAAATATATAATATTCTTTATATAGTGTTCTCTTTTTGAGTCGAAACCATCAAGGTTGCTTGGGTTTCAGAGCGTGGAGGATACCGACAACTCTAGTTGATGGGGGTGTTTGGTTATTGGCGTTTAAGCGATATTTTAGTTGTTTGACTTTTTTAACAGCTAGTTAAAAGTGTTTGGTTTTTAGCTGGTTCAACAAGCTTATTTGCCCCCGAAACACTAATCCAAAAGCTGCTTGTACGAGTGTTTGAGGATAGCGGTTTTCATTATTCAATTGTATTTGGGAGAGTTTAATTATTTGCATCTGTTTGGATTCATGTTGCTTTTAATTCTTTCGTTGTTTATTCATTTAGCATTTTTTTAGTTGAAAAAAATAAAATTGGTGTTATTTAATTTTATTAAGAAAAGTAAGATTAAAGGTGATAATTTATATGCGAATTTCTACATTTTTATGTTTTTTTTTGTTTTGTTTTTTTTTTATTTGTTTGAATATTTGTTATCATGTCAAATTAGAATTTTTTCTATATTTTTCATTTCACAGTTATATATTGTTATTTCTGATTTGTGTTATGCTATTTAAGTCGTTTGACAAATATTTTAAATGTAAGAAATAATTATTTTATAAATAATTATATTAAATAAGAATATTAAAGAATAAATGTCCATGTAAGTAATTTTACATGTTAACAGCTAATTAAAAGAAGTTAGTTTTACCAAACACTATTTTGCAAACCGCTAACACAATGAGCTGGTCAAAACAATTGACGCAATCCGCTAGTCAAATCAGCTAATGCAATCCGCTAACAACTAATACTAACTGTCAATTACCAAACAAGGTCGACGTGGAATAAAATATACGGACAAGTTTTTGATTCCGAGGGAAAAATGAAGAAATGCGATCATATTCTATGGGCGCCTCGAGATCTCTGAAAAAAGAATTTATTTCACAAAAACAATGACACAAATTAAAAAATAAAAGAAAATGAAAAAGCTAGTGGTCTAAGAACGTGTTTGTTTGAATCTACCTTTTACTAGTATATTATATTGTGTACTGTATATACTTGCTCTCTGAAAAGGGGAGCCCATATGAACATAAACAAACTAACCTTTGACTCTTTTGGCTGTCGTGGTATTTCTTTTTTATTTTCTTTTGCTGCAGCGTACACGGCGGAGCCAGCTCAGCATGGCGCCTCGACCGCCGCGATTGCCGCCATGCCCACGCTGTTTTTCAGACTGACAAAGTCACGGAGAGTATTCCAACGCCGTAAATGTATTTCTTTAATTATTATATTTATTTCTGTTTTTCATGGTTGGCTTTCATCTCATGCATGCATATGTCCCCCCGCAAATCTACTTTGATAGTTTGATTACCTTTGAATAAATTCAAATATATATATATATATATATATGCAATAGTAGGGCAGGACAGTGGCACATCACATGAGCATTATTCTTATAGTATGTTATTAACGCGTACGGAGTATTGGGCTCGCCAAAATTTTCGGTCGAACCAGCTCGAAAAAACGAAAGCTCTTTTTTTTTTTCTTATTATGGTACCTCGAAAAAGCATTGTACAATAGCGTTTGAATGTTTCGACGTTTCGATAGTCAAATCCGACACCGGAATGCCAGACACCGGAATCCCGGTAACTTTTGAAATCAATAGAATTTGTGTTAGGAAGTGAACCTGAATAACATGCTCCCCCGGCTTCCCGAAAAAGAATTTTCATAGAATACATATTCTATTCCGTCGTATGTTAGGTCCACCTAATCATTAGACTGACATACTTTTTTTAACAAATGTGCATACTTCTATTAAAAAGTATTATATGATAAAAAACAGTATAAATAGAAGTATGAAATTCGACAGTATAATTAATAAATACGTGTTTTTGTTAAAATGATAGGACGCGAGTTGACTCGCCTAACAGTTGAGTTGTCTCATCCAAGCATTTGTGATTATATTTCTCTAGAATCTACGAAACACCCACCAAATACTATTAAATTACGTCGGAATATTCTAGAAACCTTAGTCATACTTCAAGAAAAAAAATTATATATACCGATTCAAGAACGAATGTATTAGATAGACTATCATGTCTGTTTAAGTACGATAGGTCTTCTTAATTAGATAGATTATTATGTATGTTTTAACGATAGGTCTTCGTTTTAGATAGATTCTCGTGTCCATCTAGGTCTTCCGTGATGGCATTTTATGACATTTGATAGTATAAGTACATATTTGATAGATTCTCGTGTCCATCTTCGTTTTAGATAGATTCTCGTGTCCATCTTAATCGTCAGACTGCTACGACTAAACAAGAACTTGTGATATTTGAAACTTGCATTCGGTCTTTTTTACATCAAGGGGACTTCTAAAATTCTACACTCAACAATAGTCCATGAATAAAATAATATAAAATCCATTAGCCTCATTTTGATAGTGTCATAGGTACCTTTTATTTTTAAGGCAATATGATTTTGTCCTTTTTAATTGAACATGAGTGATTGGAGGATTGACGGTAGAGGTTTGGAACACATTCAATTGGTTTAGTCTGGTCAAATTATGTGCCTGCTAAAAGGATGCAATCCGGACATGTCGCCATGAACTAATACTCTAATTGTCCTCTTGTCTAATTTTTAATATTAATTGGATTTATTAATTATAATACCAAACTAAGTGAAAAACACTATTTTTAAATGGATTGGAACACAAGGGTTTTATTAGAAGATATACATCATAGAAAAGTATGAATATTTGATATTCCAAATATGTATTTACTACAGTCCCGTTACGGAACTATTCTGTTGGAATTTATAACCGCTAGATGCAAATGATAACTAACATAGTTATCATTTGCATCTAGCGGTTGTAAATCTCAACAGAATGGTTTCGTAACGGAATTGTATCATTTTCATGTATTTTCTTTCTTTCATAATTAAAGTAAAGTAAGTCTGACTTGCTTAACAATTAATTAACTTTTAAATCAAAATTAGTCCGGCCCGTCGGGCTCCAAAACACTGACCCAGACCCGATACGAACCTATTCTCGTGCTGGGCTAATGGCTCGGTACCGGGCCAGGTCTGTATCCAGGCCGGAACCCGTCATTTATTTTAATAAAAATAGAAACAAATAAAAAAAATTAAAAAACGGGCCATCAACCTGGGCCCGCCGGGCAGAGTCATGGAATTGATGACCCTAAAACGGCCCGTCTGAAATTGAGTCTAGTCCTGGATTCGTGGTCAACGGGTTTGACCAGGCCGGGTCCGTGCCTGGCGGCTCTTGCCCATGTCTAATTATGACTTCCTTGAGATATAGTTTCAGAAAACAGAGAACAACTGGCCGTCTACAGTAAACTCACTCTGACTTGCTTAACTAGAGACATGATTAATATTAAATTCACTTTGTGCCTCAAATATCCACACTAAAGCCCAATTTTCCTTGTGATGAAGACAAATTCCATGGAAAAACCAGCTATTTCTTGCAATTAATTAATCGATAGTTTTAACATTTTTTTTTTTTTGTATTTTTACTCGAATTTAATTAGTTAGAGTGTATTTTTTTCTAGAATAACAAAAACTAGTAAGCAAAATATTGGACTTTTGGAATTTGTGAGAGCAAAAATTCCTAAATCTATAAAAAAAATATTTTGTTGGATTGACATTAATGAGTCGGTATTTGCTGGTTCCAATATCAAAGTCTAAAGTGGTCATTTTCTGTTGTGGCCCTTTAGAAAGTGTTCAACACAGACAGCTAATTTCAACTGTGTCCCTTTCAAGTAAGTCAATGAATTGCAGACTGGCAAAACCTCAAAACACACAACTAATGTTGGGAGATCTGTCTCCCAAAGAATGAATTTTGAACACAAGAATCCGGTTAAATAAAGAAATGCTACATTCCCGTTATGAAACCATTATGTCGAGATTTATTACGGGAAAATGCTACAATCTCGTTACGGAACCATTCCGTCGGAATTTTTAACCATTAGATCACCATGTAACCGTCGTTGATAGTTGATCTGACGGTTATAACCCACGACGAAATGATCCCGTAACGGGACAATAGGATCTCCCAGTCAAATGATTCAAGACATAATTAAGAAAAAAAAAAGATTAGAATGGTCAACCCAATAAAAATGAGAATAATTCTTAAGAAAAATAAACAAGAAAATATGCACATGTACACAAAGATAATTCAGATATGAAAGTGAAACCTACTAACTTCAATTTTCATCTATTTTTTGCCAACAAACCTCACCCACCAATCTATCTACCCTTTTCAATATCTCCGCAAATCAATAGTTTTTTTTTCTTCAAAAAATAAAGGGAAAAAATAGGGGAGGTGGGGCCCCCCCAACATCAATCCCACCTTTTCTGTTGTTTGTTCATATTTACAATCCAAACTAACTTCACCAACTCTTTTGTTCTGTAAATTCCCTTCACTTATCTATGTACAAAATGCCCATCACCATTGAAAGAAGAATATGCCATGCCCTTCCACACTCCCATTTGTGTTAAAAAAGGTTAAAAAGTGTCTTGTGATCCTTTCAGCTTAAGACTTAATCAGCCCAAAGTAATTCAGACTCCTCCCCACCATGCTCCCGAGAGACATCAGCACGCGTGGGCCCTCCCTCTCGACCTTCCGCCCGCACGGGGAGGGCACTTCCGTGATTTTCAGATTACCCAAACCAATCTTTTCCCTCACCGAGTCTATCATCTCTGGGTCGACCGGGTTTCCAACTGCATCCGTCACATAGAATATGTTTTGGGCCGTATCCCGAGCTGTCGATATCTCGGCCCGCGTCACGTTCAACCCGTTTTCACGAAAAGTCCGCGTCACGTCCGCCAACAAACCTTTTCTATCGTCCGCACACAGCTCAAGCCTCACACCCTATATGATTACAAAAAAAAAAAGGCAGGAAAGATTAATTTAACTAAACCACAAAAAGGCTTGTTAAAAGAATAGATTTTATTTTTTTCCCCCCCTTTTCACAGCACCTTAGATGTCCTTCTCTCGATCCCGGCCTGTAGACAAAGAATCACGCGCTCCTTCTCGGCCTCGGAGCTAATCGGTGTCCCATCCATGTGTCTGATGAAAAACTCCTGATTTCAAATAACAACCAAACCAATTAATTGAATGAATCAATAAACAGAACTCAAATTGTAAGAAAATTGGAAAAAAAAAAACTAGTATAAATTACCAGAGACGCCGCATCATCCGATGTGTCGACCGTGGCGTGGAAAACAACATAACCCATATCGGTCAACGTGCAGACCACATCAAACAAAAGCTTATTCCGATCCCGGCACTGAATATTCACGACCGAATAATCCTTCTCCAAATAATTCCTAACCGATACACTCGGTCCCGAACCAGGCCCTGCCAAAACCCTCCTCTCATAGTCCCGGTCAGCAAACATCAACTGGTGGAGCCTCCTCTCGGTATGAGTCACGGCCAAAGAAACCGAGGTACTCGCGCTCCGAATGTCACTGTCCCCTTTCAGCACATTCCTCAAAACAGCCCCGATTGTGTCCAACTTCTGCTCGTCCTCGATTGGTGAGCCCGAGTAGTCATCCTTGACGTAAATTAAGGATGCTATACGGCCGTTGTGTGTCCAAACCTTGGCATCGACTACATTACAGCTCAAATTGGAAAGAACAGCAAAAACCTCGGATAGAAGCCCGACCCGGTCCGTGCCCGTTAGCTCAAGGGCCGTTAGACCCTTGACGCTTGCAGGTCGGCCATAATGGACAGTCTCAAGCGACTGTGGAGACAACTAATTAGTTAGTTGATCAATCAATCAATTGAATTGAGAATGAGATTAATTGTTAGTTTTAATGCGGTGGTAATTATTAATATAATTGAATAGATTACCTGCTCGATGCAACCGAGGACGCTCTCATCGGTTAGTTTATTCCCATTCAAGTCGGTCACATGAAAAACTGCCAGAATTTAATGAGTGTAAAAACGGCAAGAGTTAGTAAGAAATCAATTATTTTTCATGAAAGCTTTAAAGAGGTAGTTAATGCGGGTTTGGGAGAGTTGGAGGAGGTGAAAGGCGGCGGCGCGTGGTGGGCACTCACCGTCCATGAACCACCGGCCGTCGGAGCAGATGTAAGCCTTTTTGATCGACAGGTTCAGATCCGTCAGCACTTGGACGGCTTCCAGGAGAATCCCATGTTTTCTCGCACTATCAATCTGCAATAATTTGAAGTATTAATAATTAAATTAAATATTTTTTAAAAAATTGAATAAAAAAATAAATAAAAACCGATTTTTTTACCAAAAAAAAAACAGAGGAAGAAACTAGAAAAATGAAACTACCATAAGCCTGGTCTCATTGGAACAACCCGCATTGTCGATCATGACCCTGCACAGAGTGAACGGAGGAAGAGTGAGTTGGGGGGCATTCTCGGTATTTCACGAGTCTCGCGGCAAGAATTTTCTTTCAGATGTCTTTTGGAAAAGTCAATCGTTTCGAGGACGGGACACAAATCGATAGTTTCGAAAATTCACCATATTTGATAGGCTTTACCAGAAAATTCACAGAAAAAAAAAAAACTGCAATTTTATTAATTTTTCGTTGTATTTTTAATCCACCAAAAAAATCAGGAGAACAGCAAAATTTTATTAAGAAACTGAAAAAAAAAAAAAAATCAGACCAAAAAAATCCCTGAATTTCCAGTTCATAGTTTCAGAAAACAAAAGGGCAAGTTCAGAAAATAAAAAAAAAAAAAGGCACTGAAAATCAATTCCAAATAAGTTCTTTTTTTTCGCATTAGTAAGAGTTAAATTTGAAATTAGCCAAAAATGCAGAACCCAGTAAGAAATTAATTAGAAAAAGGGAATTAAAACAGACCTTGGCGTAGACATTCGAATAATGAGCTTTTCGTATTCATCCAAACACGAAGGCCACTCCATATTCTTCATATCACAACTCATATCTCAAACAAAAAAAAAAATTAAAAAATAAAAAAGAAAATTTGATTTTTGCAGACTCAGTCCCTCCTTTCTCTCTCTAGAATTCAATCTCTCTCTCTCTCTCTCTCTCTCTAAAAAGGAAGAATGACGGAACAATGCATGCGCTTCTGCTCGGGTCTTTCCCCACTTAAGGAAGATGTCGGTATTTATTTATTTATTTTATTTCCTTCCTATTTAATTAAAGTACTTTCCTTTTACTTATATTTTATTTTATTATTATTATTTGAATCTTATCTTATATTAATTGAAACGGCGACACCGTCTCTTGACTGAGATTTTTTTCCCTTATTTTCCCACGCTTTTTATTCTTTTCCCTAATTAATTAATTAATTAATTAATTAGTAAGTAGTGTTTAATTATTTTTCCGTTTTTATCCAAAAGAAGGGTACCGTTACCGTTTGATGCAACTAATGTTTTTTTCGCTTTCGATGTAAGTTATGACTTTATGAGTCGCCGGTTCGGGGACACGTATGTTCGGATACAGCTGGCTCGTGGGCCCCACCGCCGACGTGGACGCCAGGTGTGGTTGCAGGACGATACTTTGCGTGCAATCGACTCAACACAGAGGCGGTGATTGGTGGGGGGGTTTTGGGGGCGGTTATTAATCTTTTGTTGCACTTTTGAATTTTTATAAATTATAATGATTATTATTATTATTATCATAACTATGATGATGAAAAATTAATTGAATTAGGAGATAGAGTTTGTGATTTGTGTGGATTTGAGAAATCTTGTTAGAGTGATTTTGTAAATATTGTATTTTTGGTATAGATAGATTTTGGGTATATTATTTTAGGACTTCTATTTTATCTATATATTGGGGCTATGGTAAATCTTTTTGGGTAAATGAATTGCTTTCACGGATTTGTCATGATATTTGATCCTGGTTATTTTTTTTTTTTTGTAACGAATCTTAAGTCTCGATCGATTGAGACTCATATTTAGCGGTCACTCGTCCCTACTTGTCTTATGTTGTGCACATGCACTCTCAGTTTATGCATCAGCCTCGTCGGGTACACTGGGATGTCGTCACTCGTGTGGAACGGTATTTGAAGGGTACTCCGGGCCAAGGTATTCTTCTTCGGTCTGATTGTGACTTACAGGTCTATGGTTGGTGTGACTCCGATTGGGCAACATGTCCCGTTACTCGACGATCTCTCACTGGTTGGTTCGTCCAACTTGGTCATCATGGTATACTAAACAACAGCACACTGTTGCTCGCTCTTTTGTCGAGGCTGAGTATCGTGTTGTGGCAACGCTTACTTGCGAGTTGAAATGGTTACGGGGTTTACATCGCAGTCTTAGTGTGACTCATTCTCAGTCGATGCAGATTCATTGTGACTGTCAAGCGGCGCTACACATTGCCGCTAATCCTGTCTTTCATTAGCGCACCAAACACATTGAAGTTGACTGCCACTTTCTTCGTGATGCTCTTGTTCAAGGTCTCATTTCTACCGCTCATATTTCCGCTCATTCTCAATCGACGGACATCTTCACAAGACCTTGGGAAAACGCGAGTTTGATTTTTTTTTTTTTTTGGCAAGTTGGGCATCTGGAATCCGCACGCTCCAACTTGAGGCGGGGTGTTAAAGTGATTTTGTGAATATTTGGTTGTGGAAAGGTCACAACAACAACAAAAACTATGCACCAAGTGTTAGTGTTAGCGCAACGCGTGCACGAGCTGCCCGCGGGTGGCTTGGCACGGGCCTGGGAATTGTGCTTAGTCCTTGGCCTTTAGCATTTGAACTATGGCCTAAACTTGAGTTGTCTGGGTCGGTGTCACAAATCATACAAGTGCTCAGTTTTCTACGATTTTCTAGTTTGCCGAAGCTCAAAAGTCTGGTGTGCTACAATTGTTGAGATGATTATCGTTGTATTTTTTGGAAAAAATACGCTTAGATCCATCATCACTATAATAGGCGTGTATGATCTTCTCGCATCGTCTTTACTTTGTCCACTTCAGTTCATAGAATTTTTGTATAATCGTGTAACAATAAATAGTTTGTAACAATAAATATATCTCATTGTACGAGTATGCGAGCAATTTCATTTCATTTCATTCCATGCCAATGCATGTAGTGGAAAACAAACAATTATATGTCGAGCAATTTGGGGCGAGATTGGTATTGGAATTTTCAAATTAAGTACGATTCCATCCAATTTGAAACCATTGAAATTTAGCTATATTTCAAAATAGTCAATAATTTTTGCAATTACGATTTAGGACATGCACAAGAGGAGGGTCGCCAATCCACGTGCTAGCTAGGTGGGTCAGTACAAATTAATTAATAATATATTAGGGGCAAGCTTCAAGATTAAGTCTAGATCTGGCCGTCCATACTATCTCCTATTTTTAATATATGTCGTTTTGAGAAGTTGCACATTAATTAAGAATATTTTTTTTGTCAATAATAACTTTATTTAATGAAGATAGAGATAAATATTTTGAGAAAAAAGTGAAGAGTGAATATGAAAAGACGTAATGTATTTATTGGCTAAATGATGGTAATAATGGAAAAATATGTACAAAAAATCCAAAACGATATTTATTTGACAAATAGTTGAAAAAACTAGAATGACATTTAAAAAAAATAGGATGGGGTAGTATTTATGTGTTGCAAGCCCGTCATGACAATGTCCCTTCAGTTTTTTACATTTTATTTATTTATTTATTTACGTTTTGTGTTTAATCCGTTTCACTAAGTCAAATCCATTTTGAAATAAGATGAAAATGAAAATATTTCAATTAAATAGAGTCTAGAGGTTATATTTAATTTACACCTCATTTCCACTTAAAATTTATAATTACATCCCTACAACGTGGCCCGATCAGTAAAGGGGCAATGTAATTGAAAGACCATGAGAGGAATCATATACACTCGTGGAACCACACTACTTCATAAGGGTGTTCCTTTTGATTAACATCTTTTTTTTTTTTTCTTTTTTTTTTTTATAGCCAGCCGCGGTATTCAGAATTACACCCCGACTAATTCGCTGGTCGACCCGGGTCGCACACCTGGCAGTGGTGGGTGAGTCTCCCAACAAGGATTTTCTGCATCCATAAGGACTAGAATCTGAGACCTTGCTTAAGGGGCATCAAGCTGCTTACCACTTGAGCCAATCCCTGTTGGTTTTTTTTTCCCCTTTTAGATCTTCCTAAGGTGTTCTTAAGTGCTTGATTGTTTATGAAATAATTTGCTCATATTGAGTTATTTAGTTAATCTTAGTTAATTTTTAAAAAAGTAGTATGGTTAGTTGTAGTGAAATTTTAAGAATGTATTAAAATAATATTTAAAATAAAATGATTAAAATTGATTGATGTAAAAGTAAGAGATAAATGATTAGAAATGATAGGTAGTTAAATTATGTGAGTGGATGAATAGTAATTTAAAGTTGATGTGATGAGTAAAAATGATTGGTTTGTATTATTTAATTATATGAATAATTTTAAAAATAGTGATGTTGAGTTAAAGCCGAGTTAGATTTTAAGTTGAAATAAAAGTGAGTAAATTAATTTGTATACAAGCAAAACCCTAAATCTTACCATAGTGACAACAATGGTGACATGACTCTACACGATAGATAGAATCGTTTTCGCCCAATCAGATTTCATGTCGGGCGTCTAAAAAATTATTAAAATTGTGAATCTTGTTAACACGTTGGAATTTCCTGTCCAGTTGTCTTTGTTTAAAATAAAATAAAATTGAATTCGTATGAGCAAATGAACACGATCATTATTTGGGAAACATTAATATGATCATTATAGTGTATTTGCACGTAAATATAGTATTGTGAGTAAATACAGTATTGTGAGTTATTTGTATGTGTATAATGATTAATTTTTTGTCTTTCACCTTTTTGCTGGCCAAATTTACAGTTAAAGGATTTGGAATTTTTTTTTTTTTTAAAATTGCGTTTATCTGATTGGATGTAATGTATATTTTGGTACGTCTTTTTTTGTGAATTACTAGTATCTTCACCCGTGCGATGCACGGAACATATTTATTAAAATATTTTAATAAATACATCAAAATATATAGATACATATATATATATATATCATAAAAAGTAATGACAAATAAATAACATTATTATTGAATAGATAGTTAAAGTACAATATTATATGGTATTGCAAATTATGAAAAACTTCTTGATAGACAACATTTTTAGTAGTTTTCTTTTCCCCATTGTCGTCCCCCCACATATTAATATCTTAAATCCTGTGGATTAGTGACTCGAGACACATTAACGTATAATTGACCAGGACTAATAAACACCAGTCTTTTCATGTAAAGTCCGACATGGAATAACGACTGCTCTTGACTCTTGTTGATTGTCATTGCGTAAGAAAACATAAGAGTAAATTGTCTACGCTGGAACTTGAAGGGTATCATGAGATCAGATGGAGTTAGGGAAAGTCTTGATACCAATACCTTATGTCCACCATTTGATCCTGTTAGAATCTTACATTCAAACACGTGAGTGAAAAGTTTCGTTATCACCAAGCGTGTTCCATTACACAGTCTAATTGAATGATCAATGATTCTCAACAACATGACAGGAGTCCCAACCATTAAGTGCAATTCATGATTTGGAAAACCAGAACATTTTATACTATTTAAGAACTCCAGAGTGTGCAGGTCATGCAAGAAATCAACACCACCATCGGATTTGAATATGAGAGAACAATATAACGACACAGATTTTGAATTTGAGACATATAGCGTGAATTATTCCTATTCTGTACTCAAGTATCTTGGTAACTTTGGGTGTATTTTGTTAAGCATTCACCAATAATAATGC